TGAGCTCTTGATATAGTGCCTGGCATGTTAATATTCTTTTTTTAAATATTAGGGTTGATGATGATACACACCAGTCATATGTGTGCAAGTTTCTAGCGAGGTGTCTAGGTGGAGAGTGGCAAACTGAGATTGGGAATTCATGAGAAAGATCAGATGTTAAGCATGTTGTATCTGAGATGTCTGTGGGTCTGGCGCTCTAGTTAATGAACCAGGAAGGAGGCTATAGATTTACAATGGATGATTATAGGTGATCATTGAAGCATTGGGAAGCTCTGAGAATGAATAAGTGAAATGAAAAGAGCACAGAATCATGAGAAAACCCCAACTTCTATGAGTGAGTACAGGAAGAGAAGCCACAAAGGAAACTGAAAAGAAATGATCAGAAAACCAGGAAAGAAGAAAAGCAACCTTTGCCAAAGCACTTTTAGTGGAATAGTGGAGAAGAATTTATGATAGGCAAGGAAGTGGAGATGGTAAGTGCGGAATTTACAGGGTGCAAAGCTAAAGACCACAGATCGAGGGACATATCTTTCTTTAAAACCAAGAGAAGGTAATAGGAATGGGTACATTTGTTATACTTAATTATATGCAAATAAAAACTCAGTGTACATTTTTCTGTAAACTCAGAAGCCAAGCTAAAATGGTCTCTCTGAACATTAATTCTTCATAGTCTACTAAAGAACACCAAAAGGAACAATTTTAGCTAAGGATATGAGTCTGTGTTTACTGGTAAAAGTTGACATATGCTAAGGCATTTAATTTTTTTTTTTTTTTTTGAGTTGGAGTCTCACTCTATCTCCCAGACTGGAGTGCAGTGGCCACTCCTGGCCACCGCAGCCTCGACCCGCTGGACTCAGGCGATCCTTCTGCCTCAGCCTTCCGAGTAGGCGGAATTACAGGCATGCGCTACCATGCCTGGCTGATTTTTTTATTTATTGTAGAGATGAGGTCTCGCTTGCCCAGGCGGGTCCGAACCCACGGGCTCAGGCAATCCACTCACCTCAGCCTCCCAAAGCGTGGGATTACAGGCTGAGCCACCGAGCCCGGCTAGGCATTTAATTTTAGAACATTCTGTTCATAAAACAATTTAGTCCTAAACTGAATTAAAAGGCTCTCAATTGATACATTTTGTTGTTTAGAACACTAGGGACTCAAATACCAGATGCTTAGCTTTGTTAGGGGGTTATAAGTACCCAAACTAGAGGATTTAATAACTGTTGAGCACTGTTTCTGAACCAGATTCCCAATGCAGCAGTCCATTCAGAAGAAATATTGTTGGAAACATTCAGGATGCTTGCGTATATGCCATTACATCCAGCCTGTATCATCTTCAGTAATTAAAGATCAGAACTTTATATACTGCTTTATGGAAACTAAACACTCTCAGATGGAACTACTTGTATATTGGATATGAAAATAGTAGAAGTATTAAATAAGCTTAAGCAGAATTTTTGTTGTAAACTTGTCACAGTAAAAATATACACGTACTTATGAACTTTGCAGCAACTTGGTTGGATTTAGAGTCGATCGTACTCAGTGATCTATCACAGAAACAAGGAACAAAGAACTATATGCTCGCACTCATAAGTGGATCTTGAACAATTATTATAGCACTATAAGAAAGGGATTGGCAGTAGTGGGAAACCGCCAGGGGTTGGGGGTAGGATTGGCATTTGAGGGAAACTGCCAGGGGAAGAGAGGCACATCTCATCAACAAGGAACAAGGGTACCTGCATAATGAACATTTGTATACCTAACCTGAATTGTACCCGCATCTTTAAAATAAATAAAAAATATACATGTACTGCAAACTGTGTTAGGTTCAGGGTCTACATATCACAAAGATCTAGTCTCTGCTCGAAGTTGGAGAGACAGACAAGTAAATTCAGCATGTAGGTGCTTTGGTCAGTGTATGTATCAGGTACTGTAGGAGCATAGAGGGAGAATTCCTGAAGCAGCCTGAGATAGTCAGAGAAGACTTCCTAGAGAAGGTGAATTCTAAGCTGAGATCTGAAAAATAAGAATGAAAGAGATATTTTTCCCCAGGGAAGGAAAAGGAATGTTCCAGGCAGAGGGAAAAACACTGCAAAGACCTGCAGAGCACCAAACAGTTTGAGGGAGGTATGAAGTAGTTCACTATGTCTGGAGCATGGATTTGAGGGTGAAAAGGTAACATTGAGAAAGCCAGCATGGTAGTAAGGGGCAGATTCAGAAGGAGCCAAGTATAAGTAGCTTGATCTTGATCCTGGGAAACAAGCCACTGAAAGGAAGTGCTATGATCAGGTTTATCTTTTAGGAAGAGTGCTCTGCAGGCAATCTGGAGAAAACACTGGAAAGCATAAAAGTCTCCTGGATTTCTGACTTGGACAACTAAGTATATACTGGTGATCTTTGAGATAAGTAATAAAGAAGCAAGACATACATGGTTCTGGAGGGCAAGGAAGATGGTCAGCTTAATTTTAGACATACTGGGTTTGAGGTGAAGATTGACTTTCAAGTGGAGTTACCTGAAAGACAGATACATCGATCTAGAACTCAGTAGATTTGAGCTAGAGGCACAGATTGGGAAGTCTTCGCCATGGGTAGCATGTGTAGCCATGCATGTGAATCAGAAATAGTGTGAAAAGTGAAAGGAGAAGATTGGTGATCAGCCTGGGATAGATAGATAGATACATATATAAATAAATAAATAAAGCAAGCCGGCCAGCCAGCCAGGTGTGGTGGCATGTACCTGTAGTCCCAGCTACCAGGAGGCTGAGGTGGGAAGATCATTTCAGCCTAGGAGTTCAAGGCTGCAGTGAGCTATGATTGTTCCTAAAAATTAAAAAAATAATTTTAAAAAGATAAGAAAAGAGGTCATAGAATGGAATCCTGAAGAAGGGACTAAAACAGAAAAATAAACAAATAAAAGAAGATGATTGAAATTTGAAGACCAGAGGCACAGAATGAAAAGAGGAATCATGGTCACAGAAGCCAAGGGAGGGAAAAGTTTCAAAAATGAGGGAGTTAAAAAAGGATGAAGTGGAAAACACTATCATTAAAGGTCAAGACAGATAAATACTGAAAAATGTCCATTGGGTTTAGTAGAAATCATGGGTGACCTTCGTGAGAGCAGTTTTCATTTCTTAATGAGGCTGGAAACTGAAATCAGTTGAAAAGTGAACGAGAGATGAGGACATGAAGCTGGCAGGGCTAGCTGGACCACTGTGAAAAATCTTGGGGATGAAAGGAAGGGGAGAAACAGAGAGTGGCATCCAGAGGAGGACCAAGGATCAAGGAAGTTTTTGTTTGATTTAGATGAAAAACTTAAGCACTCAAGCATATGTTTGTGTCTAAAGAGGCAGTACAAATGAGACATTTAAGATTTTGCTAGCCGGGCTCGGTGGCTCAGCCTGTAATCCCGCGCCTTTGGGAGGCTGAGGTGAGTGGATTGCCTGAGCCCACGGGTTCGAGACCCGCCTGGGCGGCGAGACCTCATCTCTACATAAATCAAAAATCAGCCGGGCGTGGTAGCGCAGGCCTGTAATTCGGCTACTCGGAAGGCTGAGGCGGAAGGATCGCCGGAGCCCGGCAGGTCGAGGCTGCGGTGGCCGGGAGCGGCCACTGCACTCCAGTCTGGGCGACAGAGTGAGACTCCAACTCAAAAAAAAAAAAGATTTTGCTAATGAGGTGATATTCCCTGAGGTGATATCCTGGAAGAGATCAGATGGGACCCAGGAACAGAGCAAGAAACTGGTTTTTTGACATGACAAATACCACTTAGACTAGTTAGGAGTAAACATAAAAGGATGATACAGATGCAGCTATGTTTGTAGGAGGAAGTTGAGAGAATTTCTGTCTGATGGTCTTATAAATAGGCAGCAGGGGCACCTAGTGACAGAGGAGAAATTTGAGGAGGCTGGTCATAGTTTGAAGTAATTGGTATGGGTAGTGGGAAGCAGACCTTCATAGATGGATTTTCGTGAAGCCCTGAGAGTCCAACTCAAATCAGAGACCATGATATAATAGTACCAAAACCCATAGCTCTGTTGGGAACCTGGATATAAGAATGGAGACAGTGGCTGGTTAAAATGGTCCTGGACAGAGGTTTTTAAGAGGGATATAGTAGAAGGACTAGAGACAGGCAGTTGGGGTTTTAGTGAAAGGCGGTTGAACTGATAGATGGAGCCCACTTCTAACATTTGTTGTGTGAGCTTACAATTGGAAGACCACATAAACCCCTCTTGACCCTGAGGGGCCTCACATATGTATGGATGCTCTCACCTGTGTGTCCAAACTCCAGCCACATTCTCCCCTATTAATGGCTATCCCTCAACCCAAGCCATGTACAGACCAGTGGTGCAGTTCACCCACAGGGTGGACCCAGGGGCCTGGTCCTTGGAACCATTTGAGCAAGGAATTCTGGAGTCCGAGGTACTCAAAGCACAGTTGTGTGATGGAGGGTGGCAGGCTCTGCATGGGCACATCCCCTTAGCTCTCTTGAGCTGAGTGCTGACACTCAAGGGCTCAGAGGGGCCCGCCAAAGTCCAGCCGTCAACCAGGTCTAAGGGTAGAGCTGTAGGAGAAGACTATCAGAGTGAGAAAACAGGGGAGTTCAAGGACCAGAGGTCTACGGAAATGGAAGACTAAGAATCACGGGAGTGGAAACGTGAAGCTGAAAAGTCAGAAGGGTGTGATCAGACAGTGGACTGTCTGACTTTATCATTTCTGAGGAGCATCTCCATGACGTGGTAAGAAGTGTGATGGTTTTGGAGTAAAGCAAGTCAAGAACCTGAAGGAAGTGGCAAGACTCATCCATCTACCCTAAGAGTCTCCGCGGGATGATTGTGGGATTTTAGATGGTAAAGGCTATACAGCCAAGTCTTGGGTGAATGGGGGCAGATGGCTGAAGAAGATCAGTTGACGATAGCAACAGAGAGAACTAGAGACTGAGACAGCCCGAAGGTGGCAGCTCAGAGGTTAGAACTGAGGTTCCACAATGGTTTGGAAACCCCGTTGGGATGGAGGAGGCTGGCCCATGTGAAGGCCTGAGGACTCAGGGTGAGCCCGAGAGAACAGACACTTCATGGGGAGGCAGCGTGTTCTGCAGGAATCCAGGTTTCAGGAAATACAAAGTGGAAAAGTCAGTACCCCGTGACGGGGCTGAGGATGCAGGGGAATTGGAAGATCAGTGCGAGAGGCTGGGAGTGTGCGCGAGCTTCACCAGCTGATGATGCCGAACATTTGGGCAGTGGCAGGATGTGGGTCATGAAAGGAGAGTCAGAACAGGGAGAAAACAGTAATTTCACAAGTAGTTGATATGTTAATTAACTAGTACAAGGAAACTTTAGGTAAACTTTTGTAACTTAATCTTCTACCGTGGTAAATCTAGTTAATAAGATTAAATCTTATTTATAAAATAAAGGACATTAAATTTAAATAATCTTATAGTAAAACGTTTGTATATTCTAGTCATATCATAAGTACCTTTGGCCCTTTCTTTGTGAAAATAACTGAATGCCTTTTTCCACCACACTGTGCTCTTGAAAGTGGTGCTTACTCGTAGTTACTTGTTCATGTGATGAGGATTGGATGTGCATTTTCATGCTACCTGGCATACAGAGTAAATGAGTTTTCCCTTCCTCTCCTTGTCCTTTTTTCCTTCCAGATAAGACACCGGGGAGCCTGATTTTCAAGTGGAAGGAGAAAGGGTGCCTGCGGGAGGGCACAGGCAGGGCTCCTTGGCATATGTGTGCTGTCGGGTGGAATTGCAGAGAGGAGAGATGAGATCATCTAGTCAGTGCTGTCCACTAGAACTTTCCGCTGTGATAGAAATGCTCTCTATCTGCACTGTCCACTGTGGCTGCCACCTACCACAAGTGGCTATTTGAAATGTTCTTAGCGTAACTGAGGAACTGAATTTTAAATTTCATTTACTCTTAATAAATGTAAATAACTACATATGGCTACTGTGTTGGACAACACAGTTCTAGTGGATAAGGTGCTTTTTGGCTGAAGGCTTCAAGGAAGAAGTAGACTAAAAACATACTGGCTGGGCTCAATGGCTCACAAGGCCAAAGTGGGAGGACTCCTTGAGACCAAAAGTTCAAGAACAGCCTGGGCAACATAGCAAGACCCAATCTCTCTAAATAAATAAATCAGTAAATTAGCTGAGCATGGTGGTGCATGCCTGTAGTCCCATCTACTTGGGATGTGGAGGCAGGAGGACTGCTTGAGCTTAAGAGTCTGAGGCCACAGTGAGCTATGATTTTGCCACTGCACTCCATCCTGGGTGACAGAGAGAGATCTTGCCTCTTAAAAAAAAAAAGAAAGAAAAAAAGCCTGAGCGAGGTGCATGGCTAGGGTTGGGTATTGCAAAAATCATAAATAAAGGAGCCCTATGTGCCCCAATGAAAGTAGCTGGTTGTAAGAAGGTGATTTAACCAAAGCAATGGCTGGAAAGACAACTTTGTGAACAAGATAAATCAAAAATAGTGGGGAATGTTTCTGATACAATAGCCGGACAAAGAAATAACTAAAACCTATAAAGGAATTCTAGACTTGGGGAGGGATTGATTTAATCAGACCTCAATGGTAGCTTATAGAGAAACGTTAGTTCCAAAGCTAATACTAGGAATATTTGCCAAATGTTTCAAGGAATTGGGTCAAATTTCAGGAAATGCCATGCAAATTGTGTAATATAACCCAGTGACACTGTAGGGAATGGGATGGAAAAAAATGTAAATTGTGGGGAAGTGGAAGTTGTGACATTTTATATAATGGAGTTTCACTATAGGCCTGGCACTAATAAAACTCATTTTTCTATGTAAATGCTTATTTGTGATGATGTAGGAAGATGATATTGCAATAATGTTTTAGCCGTGCCAATTCCATCTTCTTTGAAGTATATCATTAACATCTACTGTCTGCTCAGCAATGTGCAGTGTGTTGGGGTGAGGATTTGTGATGAAAAAAACATGAAATGGTCATTGTGCTTGAGAAAGTCCCAGTCTCATCTAGAATACAAGACAAAGTAATTGAACAGATGATAACAGTAATTTAAATGTCTAAAATGAATGGCACAGATGAAAGGTGATAGAATCTCAGATCTGGGCGAACTGGAATGGTCAAAGCCTTGATGGGAAGAAAGCTATGCTTCAAAAGAAAATCAACCCAGTAAGTCAATATTTCTGAAAGTACATTCCATAAAATTTTTTGCAAAGGTTTCGAGATAATAATTAACTCAGAAAAACTGTGGCATGCTGGTTTGTCCAAATGAAATTCTACAACCTGATAATCTCTGTCAAAATCTATGCAGCTTTCTTCCCTTGTCTAACTACTTTATTTTTTAGACACAGGAGATTACAGCACTAAGAAATTCACTTTCCTGCCAATTCCAGTAGGGTGTTCTGTATCATTTCCTGATTAGAAATTTTACAGGCTTCTGTTTTGAAAAGTGCTTTAAAGACAGAGCAGACAGTAAGAAGGTATGGTTGAGACGGAAATAATAAAGAGCCTAGAAGTTTATAGAAGGAAAAAATTGACTGTTTAATTAGACAGTAGGAATCTCAGATTGATATTGATTTTCATTTTCAAATAATTGCACATAGTAACTCCTGTAGAAAAGGACAGGCTCATGCAGTGTTGCCTACTTTTGACTTACGTAACTCTCAGTTGCAAAAAGTTAATGAAAAATATTCACCAGATTCTCAAAAGTGCAGCTGATAGACCACAGGTGCACTGGTTTTCTCACCTGGGTGCAGTTCTCCAGGGCTGCAGAGGCACTGAAAGGGGAAGAAGAGATCAGTGTACCTGCATCCAAAGTGTGGGATGAGCTTAACAATGTAACAAAGGGGAAGAGGAGGGATACTCCGCAAAATGAAGGCGGAAGAAGAAAAATAGAGACAACATAGAAAAACAATACTCAATAGATCAAAATGTTTTAGTTGGAAGTATAAGGAACCCTCCTGTCACCATTCCTTTTCTTTAGTAACATGAGTTATAAATCTTGAAAGTAATTAAAGTAAAATCCTGGAAGATGAGAAAAGAAAGTGTTAAGATAGTAATTTTAATGTGTTTAGTTTATCAATGACATCATGATTTCTAACTTTTGTTTCTTTTTAGCCCTTCCAGGTTTAGGGAGGAATGGCTTATCATTAGTTGCAAACTGTACAAGGGTGTATCTGTTCAGCCAAGGTCGAGGTACTGACGTCTTTGTCGGTTAAACTGAGTTCTGAATAAATAACAAATGTTTGATGAGATGGATATACTAATCATCCTGATTTGATCATTACACAATGTATACATGTATTAAAACATCACAGTGGGCTGGGCAAGGTGGTTCAAGCCTGTAATCCCAGCACTTTGGGAGGCCGAGGTGAGCAGATTGCCTGAGCCCACGGGTTCGAGAACAGCCTGGACAACTTGGCAAGACCTCACCTCCATAATAAACCAAAAAAATTAGCCAGGCATGTTAGCATTCACCCATAGTCCTGACTACTTGGAAGGCTGAGGCGGAAAGATTGCCTGAGCGCAGCAGGTCGATGCTGGCGTGGCCATGTGCGTGCTACTGCACACCAGCCTGGGCGATAGAGTGAGATTCCAAGTCAAAAAAAAATCACACTGTACCCCATAAATATGTACAATTATTATATGCCAGTTAAAAACAAAATAAAACTTAACATGTAAAAAAGAAAATCAAATATACTGTGACCAAACACTCAACCTTTTTGTAAATGTTAGAAAATAAATGAAAACCAGTGAAGGTCATATTATTAGCGAAGTGCTTGAAGTAATTTCTCTTAAAGCTGAATAATAAGGACAATTTGCTAATAGTCATTGGTTTTACTAAGAGGATTAGTGAAAATGACAGGGTATTAAGATGCAGAAGTCCTATGCTTTAGTCATTGTTCTTGTGTGTTTAGTATTCATATTACTCAGCTATCCCAGGGCCAGCTTTTCCACCTGTGCTGGTACTTCCTTGGAGGCACAATCATAGTCATGACTGACTCTCTTAGGGGGCCTCTGTTCTGTGTATCCATGAGAAGTTGCAGGAAAGATCATTTTGGACATTTTGGCCAACGCCATACACTGAACTTCACACCTCTATTATTTTGTGCTGACATCAAGTATGTAAGACTCTAGTCATCTGTCATTTCTTGCATTGTGACCTCCATACTGTTTTTTATTTTCTACGCTTATTGTTTTATCAGTTTTCATTACTTTATCAGTTAGGATCCTATATGAGGCAAATACTATAAAACCACATTCTGAGCGACTTAAATACTAGAGGGAGCTTATTGACTCAGAACTGGAAAGTCTGACCGTAGGTCAGTCTTCAGAATTAGTTGTTCCAAGGGCTTAATGATGTCATTAAATATTTGGTTTCCTTCTTTTATTCTGCCATTCATAGTGTTTATTTGATCATAAATCAGATTCCACTTTTTCTCATAGGATGGCTGCCAGCTGAAATCAGGGACTCAAGCTTACTCAATTACACTCAGTGAGAATAAGACCCCCATTCTTACAGCATCCCAAGCAAGAGTTCTGAGGGTGGAGGCAGCTACCTTCAGAAAAGGTAGACCATATAGAGGTGCATGGTTATTGGGAGGCAAAATGTGTGTAGAGGAAGAAGAGGTGAGTGGCTGAAAACCAACACATATCTAACCATCTATTGCACTTGACCTTTCCATTGTTGTCTCTGGAACTCTTGTCTCATGGCAAATAAACTCCTCTACATTTTCATACTCTTCGGTAGATCTTCCCTTCTCCTTTTGATGTTTTCTAAAATTCACTCAACCCTGAAGAGAATATTTTCCATGCCCCCCTCTTTCACCAGTACCCCATACCACAAAGGAAGGAGGAAAGGTCGTCTTTGTTCCCCAGCAGCCACCTCCACCCAGCGAAGGCCAATCTTCTCCACCACTGCATGGAAACACCTTTGAGGTCGTGATCTGGTTGTCCTATTTTACACCTTGCTCATGGTATCCTGTCCAACCACATGGGAGTTCTGTCTTCAAAGACTTTGGTTCGTGTTCCAGTATTCCTTCTACTCCCAAGCCCAGCCATCCTTTCTACTCCTAAGTCCAGCCATCAATCTGCTGACTCCAGTATACACATAGACGGTTATCCAAACGAGGCTCTCATTTATTTGCCCTCTTCTACTTGTTTATACCAACCATCTGCTTCCAAGAAAATATGCTGGGTCTTGTCATACTGTTTAACCTTTGAATTCTTACATTCAGATATCTCACATATTATTATTACCTGACTACTCCCATTTTACTGTTTTAGTGATTGTACTGAGACTATAGTTTCTCTTCCTATCTAAAACAAATTGCTCTGCCATGTTTTATATCCCATTTCTTCCTACCTCTGTGGGGATCTTTGCCCTTTCTCTATTTTTTTTTTTTTTGTGTGTGTGTTGGAGTCTCACTCTGTCGCCCAGACTGGAGTGCAGTGGCCGCTCCCTGCCACCGCAGCCTCGACCTGCTGGGCTCCGGCGATCCTTCCGCCTCAGGCTTCCGAGTAGCCA